GGCGAGTCCACCAAATGTTTTGTTACCTTCAGCATCTTTAATTTACTCTAGTTTTAAAACTACAACACATAGACTCTTTAAACCTGGACTAGATTACTGTTAACTAAATAGAATAGCTAAAACCAAGCTTGCGATTTGTGAAACATTTACCTGCCTTGTGAAACTTCAATAAAGGGCGATTTTGGCCCGTTTTTGCATCTGGACCACATTAAAATTGCTCCAATTCCAAAAATACAAAACCAAGAAGAGCATCAGCGTTCTTGCAGCAGGGACGCTCTCTGTGAATCCTCTGCTGCTTAACCTAAAAACCAGAACAAAAACTGTTGTAAACGAGTTTCCCTGTGTTGTAGTTCATCCATTTTCTCCACCCAGGTCCGTTTCCCAGTTTACCAGACCTCCCCTTCTGCTGGTTCCAGTAGAAATGGTGATCTGGTGTCAGAGGTGATCAGCCTCTCTGTTTGTTCTGAGAGGAAGATGATGATGATGATGATGGTATTGATCCTCCTGCTCGGTAAGATCGCCTTCCTCTCTGCTTCTCTGCCTCTCCAGTCTCTCTGGAAGCTGCTGATCAGCCTCAGAACTTCTTGGTTCTGGTCCGTTCTTCTCTCTAACGGACCCCTGGTGACCTCAGCTGGTCGTTGGTTCTGGATCAGAACCTGTGGTTCTGATTCCAGCTACTGGTCTCTCTCCAGTCCTCCCAGTACATCTCACTGGTTTTATTCTGGTCTCTTCCATCCAACCAGTGGCTCCACTTTGCCGTTTCCTGTCTGGATTTAATTTCTTCTGGGATTTCCCTTAGGTTGTCCTCTTGCTGGGCCGTTCTCTTTGGCTTTGTGCTGATCCACTTTCCCCCAGTAGATGTTAACACCAGTAGTCTTTTTCTACCTGGGATCCCACCTTTATTAATTGATCCATGGATGTGACTGTGCCACACAGACAGCCTGCCATTTTCAGATTGCAGTTGTTTAAAGTCCTCCTCACAAGCTCTGCCTCACTGATGTCCGGCTTCCATCTTAGACACAGAGCTCGATACTCAAAGGCAAAGTCTCTTAGACATTGCTCTGGCAACTGGACCATGTCTCTTAACTTCTCTTCTACCTCTGAAAGATAGTCTGGAGGTAGAAAAGCAGCACAAAAAGCATTCTTAAATTCAAGCCAGTTGTGTATCTTGGTTTTAGCCATACTCCATTACTAATAATGCATGCGATTTCCTGCGATAGATGCACTTTATTTTCAAAAGAACACAACACTGGAACTGAAACTAAATAAACACTCCCCGACTGGGAGCTTAACGCTGAATGTGACAGGTAGCCAATCAGAAAGCGCGGATTCTCGGTTTTGAAAATGGCCCGACAACTTGCGTAATGTGCGCTGAACATTACACTAAGGAAATGAGGAAGGGAGGGTCAGTGCAGAGCACCGGAGCCGAGCCTTTTTTCATTCAGTGTCAACAGAAAGAAAAAAAAGGCAGGAAGAGACGATAAACCCGATAATTAAAATGAGGTCGATAGGTTTAAGTTATCGTGCGATTAATTGATTTATCGTTTATTACGACAGGCCTAAGTACAGCCAACAGTGACACTATGGAGGACCAAAACTGACGAAATAAAACCATAAATATTAAGTTTTTCTTTTTCCTTACACGAGTTTCCATCAAGTAATGTATGCATTTTCTTTTTCATTTCCCCATAACATGCATTTTTGTCAAGAAAAGTAAATATTTTGTTTTGTCTTTTCCTTATGCAAGCCCTAGTTCTTGTCATTGCCTCCTCTCCTGTTTTTACTTTTCCGTGTGCATAATTATGCTAATGAGGAGAGCTGCCTTCTATGTCTACTATTGGCCAATAGAGCTTTGGCACCAATGTCCCTGCGTCAGACATTGTGGGGCGTTTATGTGCAGTCACTCAGTGCCATCTTTACAGGCCACAGTCCAAAACAAACTTTATCCCGGTGGTTTTATTGTGTTACCGACTGCAGTGAAGTTAGTTTTGAGTTGGATATTGGATTTTCCAATGTCCCTCGAACAAGCGGCGTTTAGCTCAAGGTTGATCTGATTTATGAACGATAATTTCGGTCAGCCTCAGCTCCGCTACTTTTGCATATTTGAGTTTGTCTTTGTTTTGGCACCTCAGCATTTCCATATGCACTCATTCAACACATCCAAGCATTTGCATTACACCACCGATACTGACATCCACTATCCATTGTTGTTTTTGTTGATAAATATTCCTTTTTATGCACTTTAACCCCTGCATGGTCTCCCGTTTTGTTATGACTTTGAGCCAGTCCTAACATACCACATCACTCCAATTTTACAGCAGCTTCACAGAATTCAATTTAAAATCCTGTTTCCTTTCAAGGCTGTTCATAACCTTTCCCCTTCTTATCCATCTGATCTTCTGCATATCGCCACCCGTTCACATTCCCTTCGTTCTTCCTCTTCATCCTCAGTGAGCTTCTTGTACGTCTCCGCACTTTGGGGAAAAGTCCTCCTGACATCTGTAATATTGACTCTCTTTTGACCTTCAGAGCTCAAAACTCATCCGTTCAAGTTCCTTCTCACTTAAATTTTTTAGCTATTTTGTGTCTTGTAGCCATTTCTTTACTGTTTAATTTGTGTCTTTGATGTTGTAAAGTGTCCTTGGGTGTTTTGAAAGGCGCTGTCGAATTAAATGCATCATTATTAAAAAATCCTGTAATTTTGAAAGGCCTGTGGAAATGCCATGTTAGCATTTCCACAGGCCTTTCAAAATTGTAATGCAAGGTTTTCCTGTGAAACAGATCTCTTCCAGTTTCTATGGAGACTAATCCAACCTGGCAACATATTGGAAAATACGTTGCCAGGTTCACAAATAATTTATTTAACTTTACAGTATTCACATTAAAGACTACCAAGACAAAATATTATTAAAAAAGAACTAAATTATTCTACTATACACTCAGCGCCTTGTGAAAGTATTCACCCCTTTGAACTTTTCAACCTTTTGCTGATTTTCAGGCTTCAAACATAAAGATATAAAATTGTTATTTTGTGAAGAATCAACAAGTGGGACACAATCATTAGGTGGAATAAAATTTGTAGGATATTTTAAACTAACTAACTGCAAAGTGGGATGTGCAGTACTATTCTGCCCCTTTGTGTTTATACTCTATAGCACCACCTTGTGCTGTGATTGCACCTGCAAGTCGCCTGGTTTTGTCCATCAGTTTTGCTCATTCTTCTAAAGCAGCTGAAGCTCAGTGAGGTTGGATGGAGAGCGCTTGTGAACAGCAGCTTTCAGCTCTTTCCACAGATTCTCGATTGGATTCAGGTCTGGACTTTGACTAGGCCATTCTAACACCTGGATATGTTTATTTTTGAACCATTCCATTGTAGGTTTTGCTTTATGTTTGGGATCTTTGTCTTGTTGGAAGATAAATCTCTGTCCTAGTCTCAGGTCTTTAAAGACTTCAACAGGTGTTCTTCCAGAATGGTTCTGTATTCGGCTCCATCCATCTTCCCATCAGTTTTAACTATCTTCCCTGCTGAAGAAAAGCAGCCCAAACCCTGAGACGATCACAGAGCAGGTGGATTTTGTATTGGTCTCGCTATGGTGTCTTGTACCAAAACTAACCATCAGCCAAACTCCTTTCACACGAGTCAGTATTAATTAGTTCTTCCTTTATTTCTATGTAGAATGGAGTGAAACTGCCAAAACAAATAACTCAGGATGAGCTCAGAGCAGCTAACAGAAGTGTTTTACATTCAGATACATACATTAGAAGTATAACAACTGATACAACAGCTACCTCAGAATGCTATGAGCTGCAATGCTACATAACGACCTAAGAAATCTTAGCAGCCTGCTAGTTAGCAATGACGTAGCACATAATTAAATCGCCTGCAGGTATTTCCAAAACTAATTCAATAAACAAGCTACTACTTTTAACATATGTTGACATAAAGGCTCGTTTTGAAGTATAAGCTGCTACTTACAGGCATCGCTTTGAAGAATTTAACCTGGAATGCGGCGTTCATAACAGACACGTGTGTTCATCTGCTCTACCGCTAGCAAACAACCGTACTGATTAAATAACATAAAAGTCAAGCAGTTCTCTAAACAGATGGCAGCAATGTGCCCCACAGTTTACAGGACACACTTCCTGCTAAAGAGCCCCCTGGTGGTTGAAGAAAAATCCACATATAAACCGGAAAATACAATAAACGAAAAAAAAAATCTGAAT